CCACCCGGGGGTGAAAGGCCCCTCTGTCACGGCTCAGCTCCTCCGCTCGCTGCGGTTCCAGGTGTTCGCGTGCGGAGCCGCCTCTCTTTCCAAATATAAATGGGAAATTCCACTCGCTGTCAAAAGCTGCATTTTGTAGGGCCATCGGGAGCAGCTCCTGCATCTTCCTGTGTTGCGCGACAGGCGAGGGGGAAGGTCTCTGGTCAGGGCTTTGCACCCTGCGCTCCCACTCTTCCGTGCAGTACTGGCACTAAGGAGCAAGTTAATGTTGAGAGTGTGTCAAATCTTGTGTCATCTGCAGAGAAGCGGGTTACGGGAAGGAGAAACTCGTTTTTCAGAGCATGGCTTGTAAAGGCCCAAGAGCAGAGTTGGTGCATGGAGCCGTGTGTGATGTCCAGGCAGGCTGGGGGTAAGGCACAGAAAGGGACAGGGACATGGCTTCACTGCCTATGGGACATCATAGCTGTTTAAGGACTTCTGCTAACGGGTACAGGGGCACGAGGCGATGATTAACCTTCCCGGGGTTGTAATTCTCTCGGTAAACGTGTGCGTTTTGAGCTTACCACCTAGGGCGGCACACATCGGAAACCGCAGCCAAGGAAGCGGGGTGAGTTTGAGCACCCAGCAGGGATGTAGCCTGTGCTGGACTGAAGGAGTAGATTTATTTTTAAGAAGTCATTTTACTGGAGGTGTTTTACAAGCACTGCTTGTCAAGCTAATAAAGGCAGCTGAAGGAATTACAACCAAGTCACTGTTACTTGGGTGCCTCCATTCCCATAGGCATCTTAAAAGCTTCAGCCCTGCTTTGGTTGCCCCTCAACACCCTTATCCTTTTGGCTGCTGAGGGAGCTCGCCATTTCTCACTGCTGAGCCCACAATGTGCGCACATCTGGCCAGCTGTGCCCTCCAGCGATGCTGTGCCTGTTTTACTTTCTAAATTCCTGTTTTGTTCTTTTTCTTTTAACAGATTACAACAGCAGTGACTTAAAAACAGCGTGCAGAAAGCATGAGCTTTACGTTAGCTTCCAAGACTTGGGATGGCAGGTGTGTGATGTTTCTCTCTGGGTAAACTAGACATTTTGTTATGAAATGTTATCTAAACAGTGTCACGGTAATTCCACTCGAGGCTGCCATTATGCTTTAAAATGTCCCTTGTGCCTCCTCACTAAAACCAGTCACAGGGAAGGGCAAATAAATATTGATAGTTGTGACATTTGATAAGATCCAGAGGAAGCTTGATACTTTATGAGATTCAAGTATACAGTCATTCTCTGTCACTCAGGGAGCCATGGTATGGGCAAGGGCCTCTAATGATAAGGAAAAAAATGTGATGTTAAGCAGGGATTTTAACCAAATCAAGTTTTTTCTAGTGATCAGCCTAATTTTAACCTTGGCTGTTGTGTTGAAATCCTCCACCCCTGCCCCACAGTTAGTGCTGGCTGTGGTAGGTGGACTGAAGACTGGGTTTAGTTGCAACACCGTGAGGCCAGAGTTGTTTAGAAAGCTATTTAGGACCAGGCCATAATGTCATCAAACATCACATTTCAAAGAATGCCCTCATCATCTCTTTTTTAATTTTTTAATTTTTTTTTTTTTATTCTTTCATTCAGCACTTTTGTGAGGGAGGTCCCATTTCTATCAGCTAACGTTTTTACCGGATTATAATTCAGGAGGCCAGGGCTGCCCCCGCTGCTTCTGTAATACCCTACACATGAAAGTCCTCTCCCAGCTATTGAGGCAGCAGCATTTTTTTGTAGCTTAACGTCAACTCCAGCCCACTAGCCACAACTGGGGCTGCGTGCTGACTCTGTTCCCCATTACTTGTTAGTGGCTTTTCCTTTTATATGTGCACAGCCTTTCCACCCCTCCTTAGGTCGCTTACCCTGCTTCCAGGCAGGAAGCGTATTCCGGTTGTGAAGTTCATGGTGTCGAAGGCACTGCCTTCACCTTTCTGGTTGCAGGCTTGAGCAGAAAGGTAAGATGCTGCCAAAGGAAGGCCACAGACCAGCAGGGCTCTTTGCAGGAGTTGAAATCCAGATCCTCCTTATTGTAGGGAGATGATGGAGTCGGGGCAGCAGCCCCCTGCAGTTGTTGGGCACTGCTATCTCCTTCAGAACATCCATCAATTTTTTTTTTTAGCATCAACTTTTTTAGCAGTAGAGCGCTTCCCTTATTCTTACACCACATTAAACCACAAATTTAATTGCACAGTCTGTATTGGCTTCTGTAACAGGAGAGTGACTGTCTTATGAAAAGCAGCTCGGTTTACTGGGAGCAAATTAATGGTAAGCTAGTACTGTAAAATGAAGGGGTGGTTTTGCTATGCCCAGGTATCTCCATGTTAGCAATCAAACAGCAAACTTGGCTAGCAAAGCTGCAGGAACAGTCTGCTGCTGGGGCCTGCTGTAGCAAAATTCAAGCTAACCCAGGTAATTGTTGTCAGGTAAAGGGGAAATTGTTTAAGAATTTATGTGCATGTGAAGCATACCAGTATGACCTCCTGCAGGCTGACCTGCAGAGCCTGACGGGGGAGGCGAAAGTTTCCTGCTAATTGGTGACGCAAATTTACCTTTGGCTCTTTTGTGTCGGCAGCAGAGAAGCTGTAATCTTTTTTTTTATTAGCCCTTTGGTGAAGAGTCACCTTCTTCCATAGCATGGCACTCAGGTTGCCACCGGGACCACCTGCTTGCACACGCAGCTCAGGCTGGCTGTCCTGCCCCTCCTTTAGGAGGCTGGCAGAGGTGGAGAAGCTATTACGCAGCTGCACCTTCCCACAGTGGCCTTAGCAGACGAGCGTCCCTGGGTAAGAGTGTGTGAGGTAGAGGGTCTGTGAGGCACCACGCCAGCGTTTTATATTCCCGGTCTGGAGCTCCCTGGTCGAACTGTGCGTGTGTGCACGCACATGCATGCACATACATGATTTTCTCCGGGAGGCGACACCAGCTGAGGCTGTGCTTCAACCTAGGAAAGGTAGTTCAGCCAGAGGGCCTAACCTGCAGGAAACAGTGGAATATAAAGGCATCCAAACCACAATCCCCACAAGGTAATCTAGCAAGAGTTGTAGGCATAAAACTCTTCTAGTTCGTGGCAGTTAAGCTGTGTGCAGTTGTGCATCATTGTTTGGACATTAAAATCACTGTGTCCATAGAAAAATCATGGCTCAACAAAAAAAACAAACCAAAAAAAACCCACCACACCAAACCCCAAACCCTAACAGTTTCCGTGAAAACACATTTTCACCCTCAAGAAAAAAGTTAGTGGAAAATTTTCATCTGCTCTTAATTGCATGCAGTTGTCTGTACAAGTTGGCAACTTTTTAATTTGAATCACGTTCTGTTTGTTTCCTAAAAAGGATTGGATAATCGCTCCAAAGGGCTACGCCGCCAACTACTGTGATGGGGAGTGCTCATTCCCACTCAATGCCCATATGAACGCAACCAATCATGCCATTGTACAAACTCTGGTAAGTCTCCGGAAACCTCAATGCCAAAGCAATAGATGAATTTGTAAATGAGTTACCATTGTCTCAGTTGTGTTTTCTTCTTGGCAACAGGTTCATCTTATGAATCCTGATTACGTTCCCAAACCATGCTGTGCACCTACCAAACTAAATGCCATATCGGTTCTTTATTTCGATGATAATTCTAACGTAATCTTGAAGAAATACAGGAATATGGTAGTAAGAGCTTGTGGATGTCACTGACACACAGTCTTCACACGGACTCTGTGATTCTACCATGACCTTCCATACTACCTTCCATGCTTTTGTGAACTACCTGACCTTGGAGGAAAAAAATAATTGATGGACCACCTTTTAGAACACCATGTATGTGCCTTGTGGGAGGAGAAGGTAGGGGGACCACATGCTGGGGCGCGAGCAAACTGCAGACGGACCCTGCGCCGTGGTGGCTGCTCCGCTCTGCAGAGCCAGGGCGTGCAAAGCAGCAATATGCCCACACATGCTTTATTTGGCTGGGACGGTCTTAATCTCACATAGCAGCTTGGCCTTAGCTGTTGCTTGGATGTGTGCTGCAGTTTTACCAGACTGGGTACCCAACAACGCAAAACAAGTGAGGGTTGGGGGGGGGGGGGGGGGGGGGGGGGGGGGGGGGGGGCACGCAGGGAGAGGGGAAGAGAGGCCTAGAGAGGAAAGCGGTGTAGTACTTCAGCCTTAGAGCATAGGTCTTGTACAAGATAATAAAAAAATTCCTAAGGTTAGGAATTGCCTTTTGCCTGGACTGTTAGTCTCCTCCTGAAATCTGTCATGACAGTAAGCATCTTAAATTGTGCCAAAGCAAATGTTTCAGTTCTCTTTTCTCCAAGCACAGTTTAAGTCTGATCCTGCAAGGGTAAGATGGCTTGGCTGCACCCCGTGTTAGAAAGGCTAGCGTGAACTCAGACCCTGGCTGGTCTTTCCAGTTTGTGATTTGACTGAGCAGTATAACTTCATACACTTGTTCTTACGCAACTTCCTTCCACTCCCCGCACGGAGCTGTCTCATCTACTACCACTTGCCCAGGAAGGAAGTCGTGACGCTTCTACAGCTACAATTCAGATGTAAAAGTTTAGGGGCCATTCATTCCCTAGGTGGACAATTTATTTACAGGAAGACAGAATGTCAACAGTGTATGCAAGTCTTTGGCCAACCTTTCCCCTTCAACTCACGCAACTAACAAACTGGTATAAAGGATACATTCACAGTGTAGCCATGGTTTGTCTAGCAGAAGCTAATAGCAAATTGTTTTGATCAATATTAAACTTGTATTAAATGCACTTACCTCTAATTCTTGCATTTTAAAGGCTTCTTGTAAATACAAGCTATAATTTATTGCACTTGTCACTGTATATTCATTGTGCTGTATCATTTATAGAAAGACTGCTTTTTTAAAAAGTTTTTATTTAGAAAAATCTCAGTGTAAACAATTGTACCACTTTGATTTTATACAAGAAACTCATGAGATTGTGCTTCACTAGAAAGTTGTTAAAAACGTGATAATAAAGGCTTTCTTTAAGGCAGAAGTATATACATTGATCCAATACATCTGCCAGTACAACACTTAGCATTCACTGTGGCTTTTTCACCCTTACACATTTTTAGGTTGAACAGAATCAAAAGTTCTGGACAGACAGTGAAGTGAAGTACCAGGAGAAATTCACTTATTTAAAAGTTCATTGCTGTTTTGCCTTTTTTTTTTTTTTTTTTTTTTAAAAAAAACCCCAACCTACTCCATATGATGGACAAAAATCAGCATCTTGACAGATTAGTCTCCAATTAGCCTGCAGCCATCCTCATTCCATGAGTTTCTGTGCACACGAGGTGGCAGAATTCGGTCCTTGCTTTGCTGTTGTCTTTGTATTGTGGCAGTCTCTGCAGTGTAAATTCTTTGGCTTTCAGTTACATCTAACATGGAACATCTTATGCACCAAAGAATAGATCCATATTATAATTGAAGGCACCACAGAGTGCATGGTCCTAGCCTTCAAACTTACCGATGCTTACAGCTTGGAAAAAGGTTAAGGCTCAAGAAGAGTGGGGAACTATTTTACACTACTGTAGAACAGCTGAATGGGGGAAAAAAAAAAAAAAATTAAACATTGTACTACTTGTTGTTCTCTAAGTACTCTGAGTAAGGAGCAGGTCGGCACAAAATCTGGATTCAGGCGAGGGTAGGAAACACATGTCATCAGCTCTGAAGTGTAACTGATCATTTAGTATTACCAGAGCAGTTATAATGGCACCTATTCACTTTGGCTCTATATAAGTAGAGCATAGTTACTCCTCTGGAGCTGGACGTAAGCAGCCTACGAAAATCCACCTGACACACGTACACTATGGCATCAGTAATGTTCAGGCACATGTTACAGTACCATCACTTTCATTATGGCTAGACCTCCCATGCTGAGAGGATTAACAGGAAACAACCAGCTCATGGTGGCCTGGTATCTTCCAAAGGTGTGTGTGTTTTCAACCTCCCATGACTTTCCATTTCTTAACCAGCAGCTATATTAAGACAAACAGGGTTTAAGTACAGTTGTAGAGGCAAAAGTGACTCAACACAGCTGTAGCTTTTACCTCTCTAGTAATGGCGGGCAGTTTGTAAGGATTACTTTTTAATCAAACCTAACCTGAAGACAAAAATATTCTATTGGTCCCCTTAAGCTGGTTTTCTTAATGTATTTTAGTCTCAAAGGAAACCATTTACACTTCATTGCGGGAACAGAGAAATGCAGTAATACTACCGATGCTGAAAATATTCTCAGTTTGCACAGTAACTACTTGTTAGTTTTCCTTCGCACACATGGTAGCACGTCTTTAACACACACAGAGAGGGAAGATACCAATGTTAAGTACAGTCAATTTCCTAAACAAACAAAAATGCCCCAATCCCCCACCCCACCCCCATACACTATTTGAAAATTAGCAATGATTGAAATCCCTCAGCTACTGTACAAAGACAGCCAGGGACAGATCATCCGGACTTTTATTACAATTCATCCCTTGCCTGACGCAAGACAAAGCTATGCAGTGACTCAAGGTCTCTCGTTCCGTTGTGTTCACTGACTTTCTTTCCACCTCGGAAAAGCAGAAGTGTAGGATAACCACGTACCTTCAAAAGACACACACACACAGAGAAGAAAAAAGAAACTTGGTATTAATGTCCAAACGCACTGGTACCCTTCACTTGTATTTACCTGACTCTGAAAAGCCACCAAACCCCTCTAAACCAATAAACCATTTTAATTTTTAAAAAAAAATCAAAGCCAAACACCACACCAGAACTTCCAATGCCAACCTGCAATTTCTGAACATTTGTAAGTGAATGGGATAATAAATACATGTTCCTCTAGGCTCTTGGTGTGGCAGCTCCAGCTCTGTCTTCAGTTGTCTGCCTACCAGCACCGAAAAGCTTTTTTTTTTTCCCCTAGGAACAGAACTTTGCATCAGCTACCACAAGACTGCTTTGGTACTTCCACAGAGGGACGCTTCTTAAATTAGGGACTTCTTCAGCTTTCTCCAATAATGAGAATGACCAAGAAACGGTGTCAGCAGGTGCTGTTCTGGACTCTCTGGTTCTTTTGGCTAATGGAGAACACAGCTGCACTGTCACCAGGCACCCGCAATGCAGCAGCCGGCTCGGCTGCACGCTGGAGCCTCTAACATTTGGTACACAATACTATCCCGTGCATTTCAGATCTTTCACACTTACAGAAAATCTGCTGCAGACGTTACGTTCCACAGTGCAGTCTACTTCTGCTATTTTGACATCAGTCAAACCTGGAAATTGCTCTTTGGCAAGGTTCTCCCAAGTTGGAGCCAAGTTCTTACAGTGACCACACCTAGAAACAAAAGAGAGATTTGTTTAGCAGATATACCTTCCAGTTTATCTCTACTGTCTTGCTGCAAGAGCTGTAAGTTTAACTAGCTGCCTTTCCTATTCCCCTAATGATTTGGCCCTCCAACTCCTTTGCACTATTATGTCAGCAAATGAGCTAAGAAAACAAGTGATTTTATGTAAGTGAAGCACTGAAGTAGTTTCTGGCCTTCGTTAGTCTCCTCTGGAATGGTATTCTGGATGTCGGTGCATTAACATTTAACCCTACAGAGGAATATGAAGCCAAATAAAGACGAGCATGGAGAATATTTAAATAATAATAAAAAGATCACTTAGAAACAAACATGTTTTAAGTAAGGCACAGAAAGTCTGTAGTACCAATTAAGTTTTCAGGTAGCATATGACAGTTATGCTAAAGCTACATGGGCTGACTTTAATTATTTAAATAACATTTTAATTTCCCTATTAAATTTCTTCCAGTTCCTAATGGCCTCCTTGACCAACGTAGCATTGCCCAATGCTGGAAACTCAATTTCAATAGAGGCATTTGTCAACACAGATTCTGCTTTTATGAAACACTCCAGTAGTTTAATGCACTTTTTCACTGAAGGTACTTTGAAGTTTAACCACTACCACTGTACTTTCAGGTAGATCCGCAATGGAATTGTTTGATAGTCAATAAGTTTCACTTAGCAGATGGAAGAAAATATATGGGGCCCTACTCTGATTTGCATTAAATAACCATTCCAGTTATATCATCAATAACACCAAAAAAGCCTGTTTCTATTTTATTCCCTTTTGTCTCTACAGTAATGTGAGAATGCGGTCCACAGAGTGCACACAATGAAACACTAGTGTCAAGAGAGAAAATGATACTGTAAAATGGCAGGAACTATAGTAAAGTATTAATTTTGTTTATATTTTGAACTTGGCTAAACCAAGTTCATAACTTGAACTTCTTACTGCCTTCAAGAAGAATTCCCAAAGCACTTTAGACTTTAAAGCTGCATTGCTCATTCTGTTCTAACCCAGCTGCACCTTAATTGGGTTATTAAAACAGCCCCGTAATTGCCTCGAGGCTAGATCAGGGCATTTACAAAAATAAAGAAAGATGTCTCAGCAAAAGTTTTCTTAATGCAAGCCAGTGTATATTGAAACCACCTTCTTAATACACAGTGACGGTATAAAAGCATTTCTGACCATGCACAAACACTACTAGAACAGGATGATTTTATGCTTACTATGCAAGTTAACATTAATATTTATCCAAAACTAACTGAAAGACAGAACTAGCAAGCAACATAATAGTGTTTGCTGAGCCCTATATAAGTTAATCTACTTGGAAGAGAAAAAGGCCATTTATATGCAG